TGAGGTTGTTGGAGTTGTCAGAGCACCGTCCTTTCCTCAGTCAGTGTTCAGGAAAAGCGACAGGACTGTGTCTGCATGCAGGAACATTTATCTTTAATGTGTGGCTTTATCCAAACTGCTATAAATGTATTATTGTTATTTATTGTTATTGTTGTTGTTGTTGTTGTTGTTGTTACTGGTATCTAACAGAGGAGTTTTAGTAGCAAATAACTTTCGCTTTTGAGTTTTCCTTCTAACCTGCAGATAAATGAACAGAGTTCCGCACATTTGCTCTGCAGACAGACAGAAGTGTTACTCACCTGCTGACTGACAGACGGTGATACGAGCGCAGGCTGTACCGTCGCTCTGTGGGACGCTTCTCCCAAATTTCTGCGCTACTCAGATCTTGCAAAGTTGTTTGAGCTCCTGCTGTGAAGCCAGAATCACGCTAGAAGTGGGGGCTACTCTGTTTTTCCGCTTAGCTTTAGTAAATAGAAGTACTTCCTGTCATGAATTTCAAAACAAAACTCCACAGTCAGACCAAGGAAAACAATGGAGAAAACTGAATTAAATTACCTGCTGCTCACAGTACAAACTACTGACAAATATGTGACCGATATGAGTCATGAATCAGGCCACTTTTTTGCCCTTTTTCAATTTAAGTCATTCAAGAACGTGATTATGATCCTGTCTTATTTCACCACCTCAGTGATTATTTATTTTTTCTTTCAGAAGTGTCACTGACAGCACCACTGTCTCAAACCTACACATACACAGAGATGGTACAAAGAAAATGAAGTGTTTATGTAGTTTCTTCTACTCTGCTTCAGCATTCAAAGCACTTTATAGATCATGCCAGGGGCGATTTTAGCCCAGTTTTGGAGGTGCTTCAGCACCCCCAAAATGAATCAAAGCAGGGGCGATTTTAGCCCAGTTTTGGAGGTGCTTCAGCACCCCCAAAATGAATCAAAGCACCCCCAAAGATGTCTTACTTTTTTTGAAAATATTTGCTGTTTGTGGGACACACTACTAAAAGTATAAAAAGCATACAGTACTTAA